ACAATAGTGAAGCACATTTCAGAATCCGCTAATCAAACTGTTTTATGTTCACGTTATTATACAAGATATTATACAACAAAAAACGTATAATTAACTTTCTGTTCATTGGAACATTTATGTATTGTTCATAATTTATATAAATAGAAAATAATATTAATATTAATGTTAAAAAAGTGCACTATTGAAAACAAATTGTATCATGAAATTTTTATACTAAAAAATTACCAAACTTAAAACATTTAGATTTAATGATAAATTTTAAATGAAAAAATACATTGATTTTGTATAAATTGAAATAAATATCTTTTTTTGCTATAGTCTCCAGAATTTTGTACAATTATGTGTAACAAAATTAAGGAATATGAATATAATATTGAAGACTAGCAATTTATAAAAGATTTAACATTCATATCTGTAGATATATTTCTAATTAATAATATATAAACCAATGTAATTATTTTAACAAATTTATTTATACGTTAATATTAATTAGAATACTATATTATTGGGAAGTGTTACTATTTATAAATTTCTAAATTCATATTAAAAAATACAGTAGAACACTAATAATTATATATCTATATACTCATTCTATATCAACACAATCGCTTAAAATTAAGCAAAAAATGAAAAAATGTAAATATGTACAACTAAATTTTTCTTTTATAATTTGGGTAAATGTTCAAACTCTTAATATGTAGCAACATTAGCTTCTAAAACATATTTATCTAATCAATATAAATTAATCATTTTTTATTTATACTGAAATAAAAGATTAAGTGTTATAAACATATTTTGAAACAAAAAAAATTGATTTTATTTAATTGATGAATTACATTACATAACATTTATATTATACTCTTTTAATTAATTCTTAAAAATATTTCTATAAAAAAATAATATTAGTTAAACAAATGGTCAAAATATATTAAAATTTTGCTATAAATTCAAATAAATATATATAATACAATTACTTTATATTAAAATGTATAATATAATTTAAATTAACAATAAGCTACATAATTTTGTTAACCTTAAACAAAGTAGATTTATAAAATATTTACATTTGTGAAAGTAACAAGTAAAATAATTTTGGTTTATTAAATATAATTTGTAAATAATACTTTCGTAATAATTAATATAGCCAATTCCATACAATAGTAGTTTGAAAAATATTGTAAAATTATTACATTAGATTTTAAGTTAAAAAATTTTATGTATTATAAAACTAGAAACCATTATACTTTAATTAGTACCTGTAAATCCCATTATACCAAAAATAGGTAAAACCTGTTATATAATTTTGTAATATTCCATTAAATTTATCAGAATATTTTGAAATAATATATATGGTTAATCAAAATAATTTATTTTCACATTTTGAAATTATTCTTTCAAAAAATTATTTACTTTTAAATAATTAAAAATGTAAAAGTAATAAATTTTCTCTATAGTCTATCCTAGGCTTTATGTTTGTAGATGGCACAACCTAAGTAAATGTTATACAATAAAAATGATTAAACATGAATCAACAGATAATTTAATAGAGAAAAAAGACGTTGATCATTACTATTTTGAAATGTTACAGAAATAATTATTTATTATTAAAGTATTTAAGCAATTAATTATTCTATTTAATTATATAAAAATTTCAACAATATAACAAGCCGTAAATTTATCTAAGATTCATATAAAATTTAAAATTAAATAAAAATTTTATAAAAATGTAGTTTTTTATAATTTATGGTAAATAAATTTATATCCAATTCTAATATAGTAATTACACATTATCAATATTAAATTGATTAAATATTTTAAAATTGTGTTTACTATACTTTGTTCGTTAAAAAGAAAACAATCTTCAATTTAATAAAAACTTAAAAACATGAAATAAAAACAAAATTATGCAAATATATTTTTATATTTTAGTTTTATTATACCAAATATGCAACAATTAAAAAAAAATATATGTGATTCTTTAATTCTTTTATTTAGGAATAGAAATATTTGAGAGAAGTAATAATGAAATATAACGATTCAAATAAGATTAGTTTCAAATAACTGATTTAAAATTTGTTTATCTGGTACTGTATTCTTACGTTATATGTGTACACATTTTTGTTTGCATTTACGTATTTCTCATATTACAGAGCTTTGTAAGTGGGCATGTGGATCCATTTTTATTTGCTTGGACAAATCGTTTCTCAGTAATATCATTTACTTAGATAAAAAAACTGAATCAGATTTACAATTTTCATTAATTGTAACCCCATCAGCCTGTTATTATTTTGAGAATTATAATTAGAAATAATTGATCTCATTACATTTTAATGCAAAAATGCACAAATTAATAATATATTATTAAATTTAATTTCAGTCAATGATAAAGAAAACTAATTGAATATGTAATTCTTTAGGTAAAATAAAAATATATCAGAATTAATAAATTGCATATGCGTATAGTTTATGAATACTATTATAATACTTAATATATCATTATTTTTTAAATTATATTTATTTAAAGAACTATACATTCACCATTTGAATTGACAAACAGAAAAAATTATTTAATTTTTTAAAAAAATGAAATGCTTCTATTTTATAGTAAGTATATATTTTTAATTATATTCATTTAGAAATTTAACTTACTTTTACTTTATTTACGATTTATAAAATGTTTTAATGTTTTAATATTTTTTGATATTGATAAATTCTTAAAAATCTCATATTTTTCTCCTGTGCTCTGATTTTCATTAATGTTTAAAAATTCTTTTGCTCGTTATTATTTCTCTTGATTGTTATTCTTTAATCTTTTATTATTTATTTAAAATAAAAATTTTTATTATATTTTAAAATAAAGATTTATTTCTTTTTTATGTTAAATTATTATTAACCTATTAATCTAATATTTATAATAATTTTATAGATATTGATGTTAGATCAAAATTCTTGATAATGAATTATTTGAATAAGAGAAAATGGTTTGAATTTAAACACATAAGATTATAATTGTAAAGTGATTAAAAATGGTAAATTATAAAATACAATTATATATATACAATGATTAAATATAAAAAAGATTTTTATATGATACTCTTACAGAATTGGTATACTTAGTATAAATTACAATTTTTTAAAATTTAGTGCAAATTTTTATAATGTAAAATAATTAAAATTATATTAAAATATTAATTTATAAACTTAACTATTTATACTTTTTTATCTTCGTTTTAAAATATATTAATTTATAGTGACCAGATAATAAACATTTTTAATAGATATTGTATCATTTTTAAAGCGTAATGATAATTGTAATTTAATATACAATTTATACGTTGATTTCCGTAAATCAAGTAAATATCTTTATGTATAATTAGTTTTTAAAATTTTTATAAATTATTTTATAATGCATAAACAAGATATAATATTTGCAAGGGAGGTTGTTACTTCTACTAAAAAGACTGCGATTGGCAAATGATGCATTATAAATCTTGTCAGTACCACACTATTTAGATGAAAACAACAACCTTAATTTTTAAATTTATTTTAAAATCTGTGTTACTAATAAGTTAAGTCTTTTTATAAAAAATAAATACAAATTAAAACGATAATCAAGCATTTTATTTATTAAATTTTATTACTGATATATTTTTATTTTAAAACCCTTTCGAATAAAAATAATTCAATTATTTAAAATTTAGATGGAAGCTGTAGTGTTATTACGCGTGTGGCGATGAAATTGATCGACGTGTACAATTACTTCAGCATTCTATATTTGTGCTATTATTCTCATAGTTAAAATACCATTATAATGCTTAACTTTCACTTACTGCCCAGCACTATTTTTAATTATACTGCCTATCTTATACATTAGTGTTCGTTTTGGTTGTGATCTTTCACTGTTTTTCCTTCTCCACACAGTAGTATTGTTACTAAATTTCTGTATTTTATTCTTTATTTTGTGCGTAATATTCTATTTACAAATTTTGCTTTTATTCTGGTCGTAGGGCTCATATCAAACATATCTTTTAAATTGACGGATTTTTACCTTCTTAATCTGCAAGTACCGTTCGTTATATTCCGTCCTTCACTGACTTGCCAAATTGTGAATATTAATCAAATTTATCTATCATTAGACTATAAGTCTCAATTGCATTCTTCATTTCTACTCGATTGCGATATTAATTATCGTAAACGTAGAAATAATGTTCTAAAATGTTCCTAATTTCAAGTTAGTTATCTATTAAGCTTGATCGTCGTAGATTTCTTAATAAGTTATACAATAATAGCTATGCAATATAGATCATGAGCTCCGACAAAATCGTTGAAAATAAGTTAAGAAATAATATTACAAACCAATCATTGCTTTACTATTTCTAAAATGAAACTTCAATAATTATATATATTATAGAATGTTTTCATTTTTAAAATAAGTAACATGTATATTAGATAAGAAAATAATCGTTTTATGTAGCGCTAAATATAAGGTCAAATACAGTGATGCATTTTTAGTCATACAAATATCATTAGAAATAATTGTGCCCAAAATCATCTAAAAATTTATATCATTAAATATATACTTGACTTGTGAATCGATGAACAAATTAATTAAAATACAGATAGTAAGGTACTGTTACTTAATTAAAAATAGAACTACATAATTTACATTAAAATCAAATTATGTATGTTAAATTTGAATACAATTTATTTAAAATTATTATGTTATCTGTTTAATATTATAGTTCTAAACTAGACTATTTGATTAGTATTATTTATTAAAAGTATACTATCGCATTATATTGTATAAAATTGAATACGTGCGTGTGTGTGAAATCCGAAGTCAATTATATTACATATATGGTGTAATTTATATTCATTATTCAAATTAAATTTTTATTTTATTGCAGCATATAATTATACTTTACACTCATCTAATTTTCTCAACCAAAATTTTGATATAATTTATAAGTTTTGCGAAGGTAAAAAAGGTAGATTAGATATCCTACATATATATTTAACTAACATAATTATTCTGAATAAAATGTATTAATTCATTAAACGTGTTAGACATGTGGCGGCCATGACCATTGATTAACTATATTTTCATTGTTAATTGATTCCCAACATTTACATTCTAATATATTTTTTATTAATTTAAACTCTTCATCGGCATAAAAAATTAATTCTTCCATTTGCCATCCAATTTTTTTTTCAATTTCTATTTCGGATTCAGTCTGGAAATATAAAAAAATTAATTTTACATTTATAATATTTCAATTCAATTTGTAATAGATTCTAAATATATATTTTTTATAATTCTGAACATTGCCCGCCTTAAAATAGCGAGTCATTAGTCTGCATTGCACTTAAGTGATAGATATTCATATTGTTCAAGAATGTAAGAAAATTCCCAGCTCATTAAACATCTGGAAAATTCGAGATAAAAGTTCCGAAAAAGGCGAACTCTCGGCTACTCGAGAAATAACATTTAAACGCGCCTCAGATTAACTAAATCTGAACAATTCAGCAAAACTTCGAATTTCTAAAGAAAATAAACTTCATAAACACATCTGGCGAGAACAAGGCTCCAAGTGTCCAGCAAAACAAGTCATAAAACTAATGCTACGAGACATTTGACACGGCCTCGCCATAAAGCATCTATCGACGACAAATTATAAAACATCTGGCGTACACAAATCATAAAATTAGCCTAAAAAACACAAGCCAGATGATACACTCAAAAATAATGCTACACCTAACCTTCACAACATTGACCGATCGCAACGCGCATGATTATAAGAAATGAATGCAACAATGCTAGGATGGAGAGGGAAAAGCGCGGCATCAAGAGCCCCCATAATGGAGGGGAGTTGAGCAAGACCCGCTCTCATTGGAGCCTCCATCTTGGAAAGGCTCACTGATGGGAGACCCCAGCACTCGAAGGGCGCCGTGATAAGAATTACCATAAACTAAAGAAGAATTCTGATTGGGCACACTAATAAGACTAAATCTCATTGGCAACGCCATGATCGACAAGACAGCTCTGATTGGTGACACCAAAAGAGAGGGAATTCTCACCAACCACCGCGTGCTCGAGAGAAGGCTTTAAAAAAGGCAACGCCGGCACAGCACAATCACTTATCTTATCTAACAGAAAAAGAACAAGTCAATTAAAACGCAGTCAAACAATTAGAAGGTCCACGCTAATTACGCAAGATTATTCTATTCAACACAAGTGCTAGATAATCAATTCATAAACTCGCAGCAGTGCAATACAAGTAAAAAAGGGGAATCGAGAATTACGAATATCAGTTCGCACAGTATACACAATCAAACTGCCAGGAGCCACACGAGGCAACTCAAAGAACAAGACAAAACATAGCTATACACAACGTGCAGAACTACGATGTAACGTTCCATTCTTAATTAATACATAACTATATCAAGCTATACGCGTCAATCTGCAGATACGTAAAGCTATCTGCAAAACATAATACAAGCAATTCAAGCAACACCACGTACTCATATACAAGGAAGCGCTGGGGTTTACGACCGCGTTCTTCTGTGTGTATTATTCCATCCACACGTGTGTCACATATAGAGGACCAGCAAGGCATCAACTTCTTCCTGTGTATGCGGCGTACGTGATAGCTCAGTGGCAATAAAACATCCAAATCAAGAAAAACAAGCACTCAATCATTAAAATTAAAACTAATTATAATTCAATTAGTGAAATCGTAAATAAAACATAACTAAATAACAAAACTACTTTTTTTTTAATACATGTACTATCTTGTCTACTAGCCTGCAATCCTATCAACATCGGGAGCTCACAAATAATCTTAGTTACTTGGCCCTCCTCGCCCGGTACTCTATTTTTATACATATATCATTACTATCTCATGTGATATTCGTCCGATTCGTAAAGCAGTTTTGATATAAAACAATGTATTACCGCTTTTTACAATATGATATCGTGTTGTAGCTATTTTATGAAAGAAAAAAATTTTTAATTTAAGAACATAAAATAATAGATATTCGTGAAACTAGCATATGGTTAGGTTGATAAAGGACATTTTGTCAGATTAAGTAAAAAGTAAATAGTAAATGATGTGTATATATTATTATTAATATGAACATAGAAATATTTTTATATTAACCTATTGGATATATAATTTTGTAATAAATTTATGATTTAAAATGGATGAAGACTTTTACTCTTGTTTTCTAATCTATATATTTGGAATTCACAACGATTTCATATATATATATGCTTTTCAACTTATATTGATATCGATGTTAATCGTAGGTATTTAATTAATAAATTAGTCCTACTTATTTAATCAATGAGATCGGTGCCCAGCGTCTTCACATATTTTTATTACTTATGTATAACCAGAAAGTTAAAGAAACCATCTTTCTCCTGTATCTAGATAATTGTACAATGTATTGGCCAGTTTAATTTCATAAATGTCTATTATTTCACTGTCACAAATTAAAATAATTTATCATATTTATTATTTTTTATAATCGGCGATATTTGATTGCATGTTTTACATTAAGTGCTGTCCTAAGTTGAAAAGTATAACGAAACTCATTATTAGATATTATATATTACATAATTGATAGTAATAATATAACTATTATAAATATCGTTCATGTAATGTCATACGAGCGCAAAGAACTCATTGTATAGAATATCGAAAATTATGAAAACATAATTTCAACATTTATCTAATATATATCTCAATCCATTACTAATATAATAGAATACTGAAAATTAACGCTGTTATAAAAGTATCGATATGTCAATTGAATACCGATAAACGAGCGAAGAACGAGCTTACAATGAAGATTTTTATGGAAAAGTACTCTCATATTTATGTGTTCTATTCTATGCAGTATCATAGTAATACTATGAACATAAATATTTTTAAATTAAACTAATAAGGTGAGTAAAAGGTGTAAAAAAAATTATAAAAAAAAAAAAAAAATGAGTCAAGCATTTTTTCAATAAATTTTATATATATGTTAAGTAGTGTATCAACATAATTAGTCAAAAGAGTTAAAATTAAGATAAAACTTTGTACTGTATTTGATTTTTAATACAAAGTTGATCTATATGTCACATGAAATACTTATTCAAATAAGAATAGTAATTTCGAATAATAAAAGTTGGTATAAGCTATTTAGAAAATTATTTTTAATTTACATTAAAAAACGAAAAAATATAAGATCGAATGAATCAGATGACAGCTAAAATAATTTATTTCATATCGATCCCAATAAATGTATGATTAATATAGAAAAATTAATTTCGAGATAGTAGCAGCAAAATTAAACACTATACATTATAAATTTATAAATTTTAACTTAAATTATTAGAATTTAATTAAAGTTATATATAATATGCTAATATTATGAAATAAAAATAAAGTGCAAGATTTAAATCAAGTTATTAATAAAATAATTCCTTCAAAAGTAAAATATATGATATTTGAATATCAAGAAATTAAAATGAAAAATTGATGTTATTTAAATAGACATATATGTATTATGATTAAAAATTATATAATTACATTATTAATTATTTCAGCTCTATCTTGAATTAATTTTTCAGTACAAAGCCTATAAGGATAATCATTTGGTAGCTTCTGTAAATATCGCATAATTTTTTTATACAAGGATGCTAAAGCTGGTCGAGGATATTTGTGTACTTCAAGTCTGCATAATCCAGTAGTCTGAAAAGAAAGTTAATTTTTTTAAATAGATATAATTGTAAGTTAAAATTCTAAATAATATACCTACATAGGCAAAAAATAAAAAAAAAAAGAGGGAAGAGTAAAAAATGGAACTTCTACTTATATTTAGAAAAAAAATTTCACAATACAATGATGTTTTTGAATATCCTCATAAGTACAAATATGAATAGGAAAGTGACAAGTTGCTATCAACTGCAATAACGCAAGCACTCATTCATTATATGAACAAGATAAGAATCCATGTATTATAAATAATATATTGCCATTGTTAATCTTAGAATAGCAAAATACTAACAATCATGTTCATTTGGAACATTGTAAACACGTGTGATTCTTTTGCAATATATATAATCAAATGTCAAATGCCAAGAAAAATTAAAATTATTTATTAATAATTAATATGCTTTAAAATAATATAAAATGAAAGAACAAAAAAGTTAAATACAAGATTTTATGACTTGTACTAATTATTATAATTTAACAAGAACGTTTTTACTAAGGTATATAACATGACGGCATACAAATCTTACATTAATTATACTGGGCTAAAAAAACAAACGAACATAAAAGCATATTATGTGATATCATGTAGACGAGATCATAAACACTGATGTTATTTCAATAAGGACAAAATACTTGTAATAACATTTTTTTATAATGAAATGACCTAATAAATAATAAAAATGAATCTATATTTATTAGTTGAATTATATAAACTACATTCTAGCTATATTTATACAAGAAAAAACTTTTACATATTGCAAAAATAATTCAAACTAAAAGAATATATAAATTCAAGTAAAAGCTATTTTGGTAATATAGAATATTACCAGTAATATTTTTTCGTAGTAGTGAGTATAATAAGTAATTATAATTATTTTTATATTTATAATTATTTATATATTATATTATTTTATTTATTATTATCATTAATTTAATTTTTTTAATTAATTAAATTAATTTAATTAATACATAAATAAATATATATATATATATATATATAATTATAATTATAATTATAATAAAAATAATTATAAAGTAAAATAAACAAATAAGTAAAATCTTTTCTGCCATATACAAAGATAATAAAATATGGTAGAGACTTTTAGATAGTTACATGTCATATCTCAATAAAGACATAATTTCATAATGGCTCTACCATTTAATAATTAATATTATGCAGTAATGAAAATAATATTATCAATAATGTTGACATGGCAATAGTTTTCTAATATTGTATAATTTCAAACGGAAAAATAAAAGTAGAATACTTGATAGTAATTTTTTTTACAATATTAAAATATTTTTAAAATATAAATTTTTATTGTATAACATCATATAAATCAACAAAACTAACAAAAATTTTTAACAATGAATCGTCAATCTCTTTAAGGTTAAATATATTATAATTTCATATATTTCAATTTAATATTTTATTAACTTAATATTTTAGCATATAATTTTATAATAAATTTTGTACATAAAATTTACTTGAAATTTCAGAATACAATAAAATAGTATTCACTTTTAAAATTCACATAAATCAATACAATTTATTTATTTACTAATATAAATGTATAATTTAGAAACAAATATGATTAACAAATTTTTAATGAAAACAATATATTAATAATAAAATATTAGTTATTTTTCAAATAAAAAAGTATAATATAAATATGATTATGATTTAATGATTAAACATTGTAATTTTATACCATTAAAACTTGATAAAATCATCAAATTTTAATAAATTTATAAATATACTAAAATAATTATTCAATGAGTATATAAAATAGTTTAGAGATTATTAAAATTAAAATTTGATTATATTATTACTTCTATTATATTTGTTTATTTTTAACAATTACTCTGTTAATAAATAGAATAAAAATAAGTACAGAATGCACTATAATTAATGTTACATATTTTAATTTGGAAGTTCATCAATAAAAATTTTATATATATAATAAAATGTTATATAATACATAATAAATAGAATATACATGGAAATAAAAAAGGATTTATAAAAAATTTTTAAATAATATTATATTCTATAATACAAGAATTCATCAAATGTTAGATTTCAATTTTAATAATTGTTAAGCTATTTTACCAAATTCATGAACATCAAAAAAGTTTTTAACTTTTTTCAAATCTTTTCTTACTTTTTTAAGAATTTTAGACATTTGGAAACGCAGACTCTTAATTTATAAATATATATAACATTCGCAAATAACTGAACAAATTGTATAATTTACTAATTTTTAATAATCTTTCACTATTTTGTATTATTTAATATTATGACAACCACACGAGTCTGAATAATACGAGTAGTAGCTAAATGTAAGCATTTGCACATGTGTAAAAGAAACCTTAACTGATTGGTTGTATGGCCAACTATCAATATTTTCAAGAATAGTGAACATTAAAAATATTGAATAATTTTAATCTAAGATATACTATAATATTAATATTGAAATATTTAAAAAAATAAAAAATTTATGGAAACAAATCTGCGCAAATACGCATATCTGCAAGTGCATGTATATATAAAAAACAAATATTTTCGTAATATTTTATTATGAAACGTTTCATTCGAATATAAATTAAAAAATTATAACAAAATATAAACTTTTACAGAAAGTTGTATTTAAATATTTTGAATAAAATAAAACAAATTGATATTTTATATTATGTATCGAAGAAAAACATATATGTTACTATAATTTTCTTATGAATATTGCAAATAATTTAAATAATTTAAATACCCTTTAATTAAACAAAAAAATTAAATAATTTGTTATTCAAAGAGTAATCACGTATATAAAATAACATAATTTGATTCTTTATTTTTTGGATTTTAATATAAAAGAAGTGAAATTCGTAATAAACATTTAATAAGACTAGATTAATCCTAAATATATGTAATAAATTTTAGATAATGGAATAATAAGCTAATACAATAAAAATATATAGAAGTAGTATAAATAGGATAAATATAACATATAAGAGTACAAAGGCCTGAAGTAAAAAATATAATAATTAAATTTTTTTTTAGATAAATAACACTTATACCAGACTAAATTAAAAACATAACGCAATCATAATAGAATATTTACAATACTATTCAATACATGAATATTTATATATTGAAATATTTTATAATTATGAAATTATAATATTTTTAAATTTTACAATTTATTATATTTTTATTTTATTTATTTTAGTAATGTTTGTGTATTTAATGTTTATATTAAGAACATATAATGTAAAATATAATAAATATGAAAATAGTAATAATTAAAATATCTTCATTTTTTATTTATTTTTATTTATTAAATATAAAATTTTCATACTGTTCAAGAAGGTAAGAAAACTCCCAGCTCATTAAACATCTGGAAAAACCTAGTTAAGAGTTCCGAAAAAGGCAACTCTCGGCTACGCGAGTAATAACATTCAAAAACGCGCTACGGATTAACTAAATCTAATCAATTCAGCAAAACTTCGAATATCTTAAAAAAATTAACTTCATAAACACATCTGGCGAGAACAAGGCTCCAAGTGTCCAGCAAAACAAGTCATAAAACTAATGCTACGAGACATTTGACACGGCCTCGCCATAAAGCATCTATCGACGACAAATTATAAAACATCTGGCGTACACAAATCATAAAATTAGCCTGAAAAACACAAGCCAGATGATACACTCAAAAATAATGCTACACCTAACCTTCACAACATTGACCGATCGCAACGCGCATGATTATAAGAAATGAATGCAACAATGCTTGGATAGTGAGGGAAAAGCGCGGCATCAAGACCCCCCATAATGGAGGGGAGTTGAGCAAGACCCGCTCTCATTGGAGCCTCCATCTTGGAAAGGCTCACTGATGGGAGACCCCAGCACTCGAAGGGCGCCGTGATAAGAATTACCATAAACTAAAGAAGAATTTTGATTGGGCACACTAATAAGACTAAATCTCATTGGCAACGCCATGATCGACAAGACAGCTCTGATTGGTGACACCAAAAGAGAGGGAATTCTCACCGACCACCGCGTGGTCGAGAGAAGGCTTTAAAAAATGCAACGCCGGCATGGCACAATCACTTATCTTATCTTATCTAACAGAAAAAGAACAAGTCAATTAAACGCAAAAGTCTAAGATTAATCTATTCAACACAAGTACTAGATAATCAAATCATACACTCGCAGCAGTGTAATACAAAAAAAGGAGAATCGAGAACTACGAATATTAGTCCGCACAGTATACACAATCAAATTACAAGGAGCCCTACGAGGCAACTCAAAGAATAAGACAAAACATAGGTATACACAACGTGAAGACTCGTGAAGACGAGGTAACGTTCAATTCCAAATTAATACATAACTATACCAAGCTATATACGCCAATCTTAAGATACGTAAATCTGCAAACATAATACAAGTAAGTCAAGCGACGCCACGTGCTCATATACAAGGAAGCGCGGGGGTTTACGACCTCGCTCTTCTGTGTGTATTATTTCTTCTACACGTGTGTCACATATAGAGGACCAGCAAGGCATCAACTTCTTCCTGTGTATGCGACTTACGTGATAGCTCAGTGGCAATAAACATACAAATCAAGAAGAGCCAAAAAAATCAATTATAAAAATAAAACTAATTATAATTCAACTAATGAATAATAATAATAATAATAGTGAATATAAATAAAATAAACTAAATAACAAAACTGCTCTTTATTGAATACATGTACTGTCTTGTCCACTAGCCTGCAATGCTCCTATCAACATCAGGAGCTCACATCTAATCTTAGTTACTTGGCCCTCCTCGCCTGGTAGGCTATTTTTAAACATTTTGGTCCTTCGAGCCGGATAGTGGAGACTAGTGCATTCAATTAGTATTAGCATATCAAGATAAGGTAAAATAACATTAATCACATTGCATAAAAAACTACAACGACTTGAGAAAATCAACCAAGTAAGTAATTCATAAGCTCCTTTCTCTAATCAATACTACATAATGTCTCAAGTCGAGAAAGAACAAACCAAGGAAAGGGATGCAGAAGCATTAACTCTATTAGAAAGTACCAGTCGCGTAGCCCGTAGCGGTACTAAAGAAAAAACACCAGTTGAACTCACTGTCAAGGCCAGAGGTCAGGCCACTCGGATCACAGCAATAAAAAATTTAGTCATAAAGCTTCCCTCGTCTCACACAGAAACCTCACTCGAGGAGGTCAAGGGCATCAAGGAATTAATCGATGACTTTCACAATGCTTTTACAAGGGATCACAGCTACATGGAACAAACATGGCCAGCAGCACTAATTAATAATGACTATTTTGCAAACAATGTACAAGGAGAAGAGCTTGAAATCTATTCAAATGCACATATCACAATTAGCAAGCTTCTTCGCAGCATTAACGAAACAAGAAACTCAAATACAAGGCAAACCGAGAGTGCGAATTCAAATAATCAAAATAATGATGCAATAAATTTACCTAACGTATCTATTCCCAAATTTTCAGGTGACTACTTAGCATGGCTAATGTTCAGAGACCTATTTCAATCAATTGTATTAGATAATAAAACAATAAGTGAGGTAAAATAGTTTCATTACCTCAGAGAATCATTAGTGGGATCAGCTGCAAGGACCGTCTCCGGACTTGCACTACAAAACGATTCACTCCCAATTGCCTGGAGAAACCTGACAAATCGCTATGACAACCGTCGACAGGCAATGAAGTACTATCTACACAAATTACTCACCACCTCAGCTACAATTAAGAAAACACCTCGAGAAATCGAGGAGCTGGTGAGTGATTACTAGACAAGGCCATAGACGTATGGGAGTGCCTAATCATACATCATGTCATCAAGCAACTTGATGACACCACAAAGACACAATGGGAACGCACACTAGGCGATTCACCAGAGCACCCGAAATTCGAACAACTGAAAACATTCCTCATGTCCCATGTGACAGCTCTCGAGGGACTGGAATATCAAGAGAGGCAAACACGCCCAACCAAAACGAACCGACCAAAGAAAAGAACAGTAAAGGCCCATCAGTCATCAATCAAGGCAGACCTCGAACAAAAACAAGCAGGTACGAAACAAAATGACATCTGCATCTGTTGTCAAAAGGATCACAAATTGTTCGCGTGTCCAACTTTTAAGGAAATGAAAACAGATGACAGAAAAAACATCATAACCAAGCACAAGTTATGCGTCAATTGCCTTAAACGACACATAAATGAGTGCAAAAATAAATTCAGCTATATGCAGTACCATAAAAAGCATCATACCCCACTCCATACAGATAGTAACAAGAACTCGACCACAAGCAGTAATACTTCGTCAGCTAACCCTTCATGAAATTAAGGTACAATCGTCAAAACAACAGAGTCAAATACCATAACGACTCTTCTAGCTACTGCGGTAGCAAAAATTCACTCGACAACAACAACAATGCAAGCTCATCTACTAATCGACACAGGATCAGAGGTTACATTCGTATTAGAAAATCTAGTAAGAAAACTTAAACTCTCACGTCAACGCTCCATCCTACATGTACACGGAATTGGAGGAATACTATCAACTCAAGCACAAGGTGCAGTATCGCTCAATCTACAATTAATTTATACGAATTCCTCTGTTACAGTTACAGCTCATATTCTAAAAACGCTAACGACAATGCTTCCATCCTTCAAAACTTCACACCAAACAGGGCCACACTTGCATGGTCTAACATTAGCCGACCCAGAATATTTCACACCTAGATCAATAGACATTGTGCTAGGAGCAGATGTATACGGACAAATCATTATGCCCGACATCATCAAGGATTCCCCAGATATGCCAATAACCCAATTGTCCATTTTTGGATGGGTGGTTCTGGGACCTGTCAATCTAACAAACAACATGACGTCAGTAGTAGTCTGCACGTCCATACAAGAAATAGAAGAAAATCTATAAGAATTACTAACAAAATTCTGGGTGCAAGAAGAAGTAGCAAAAGGAGACGAACACCAATACACACCAGACGAGCAGTGATGTGAAGACCATTTTAAACGAACTCATACACGACATTAGACAAGAAGATACATAGTACGAATTTCACTAAGGGAACCTATTGAACTTCTTGAAAACTCTTATAACACTGCTCACCAATGTTTACAAAGTCTATTAAGGCGACTTTCAAGGGACGAACACAATTCATGACAGAATATTAGAATCTAAACCACATGAAAAGGGCACCCACTGGCACCCAGTCAAAAATACAATACTACTTACCACATCATGGCGTACTTAAACGAGACAGCTCTACCACAAAATTGCGAATTGAAAACAACATACTTGTGGACAGACTCAAGAGTGACACTCGCATGGATAAAATCCCATCCGTCACACTGGAAGGACTATGTGAGAAACAGGGTCAGTCAAATCCAGGAAATCACATCAGATGCCCAATGGAACTATGTATCTGGAACATCAAATCCTGCAGACTATGCTTCACGAGGACTAACCACAGATCAACTCCAAACCCACTCACTATGGTGGTCAGGGCCATCCTGGATACATTCACCAGATGCATGGCTAACCCAGCCAGAGCAAGGCAATGAACAATGCAAACAAGAAGTTCGTCCTGGCATATCATTAGCAATCACAGCCACTGAGCCAACCTACCACTGGAAACTAATACACAAGTGCCCAACTCTAGACAAACTCTTACGCATTACAGCAGTATGCATAAAATTCGTCATCCAGCTGAAGAAAAGGCTTAAAATGACTCAATCAACTCCAGCAATAACAAACGAAACGGAATGGTCGAAAATCTTTTGGGTAAAGGCAACCCAATCCGCATTTTTCTCAACCGAATTAAAGATCCTTCGATCTCAAGCACGCCTACCGCCTGGACACGCGTTTCATCGCCTAACAGCGTATATCGATTCACAAGGCATTATTAGAGTTGGAGGGAGGCTATCACAAGCATCAATAACTCATGATCAAAAGCATCCAGCAATTCTTCCACGAGAATCCACACTATCATGTCTCATAATAAATCAAGCACATCTCCGCACACTGCACGGAGGCAAACAACTCATGTTGGCACACACACGTCAACAGTATTGGATTCTTAATAAATAAACATACAAATCAAGAAAAGCCAAAAAAATCAATTATAAAAATAAAACTAATTATAATTCAACTAGTGCAATCATAAATAAAACAAACTAAATAACAAAACTACTCTTTATTGAATACATGTACTGTCTTGTCCACTAGCCTGCAATCCTCTTATCAACATCAGGAGCTCACATCTAATCTTAGTTACTTGGCCCTCCTCGCCCGGTACACTTTTTTTAAACACATACGAATAAACGATCTTGACTTGTGACTTTCGTTATAGCTATTCTACTGTAGGATCTTCATTCTTCATGAATTAAATTACTATTTCTTTTCGTTTTTCAAGCTTTGAACGTATAATTTTATATATGACGGTAAAAGAATGAAAAATAATGTAATCTAATTGTAGATTAATTTTTAATTATTTACTAAAACTTCTTTATAATAATCTTAAATACATCTTAAACTATATCTTAAATCCACGTACCGATTATTTATTATTGCGGGCATATTCTATAAATATAGCGTCACGAATTATTTAAAAATTCTAGGTTTCTGTTAGTTCATACAATCAAGTATTTATAAAATATATTATATTACTTCGACAAATATATCTACATATTTACAATATTTATTTACTTGTTAATTTTATATGCATGTATAAAAGCCTGACTTTTAGAATTTCAAATTTATTAATTGCCCTAATTATGAGGTGCCATCTCATTAAAATGGCTCATGTAATTTTAAATTATCATAAAGTAGCAATGCGAAAAGTAAGAAAAGAAATTTATTTTTTAAGTAGATTCATTTTTATAAATTATAAATATTAGATAAAGGAATAAGCTTTATATACATAATATTTCAAATAATTGCCAAAGAAACCTCATTGTATATGATTAGTAAATGAATTACTAACATATTTAAAAAATATTATCACAGGCTGTTTAATTAAATTACTCAATTCTATTATTTCAATTATTTAAAAAATGTTGTTTTAATACTATATTCTATTATACTATTTGAGTTATCAAATTTGGTATTTGATTTAAATGATATAAGATAAAAAATCAATTCAGAGTGATTTTTACAGATATTCCTATCTTTAAATTAACAAATAATAGATTGATTTCTAATGCAGAAAAACGTGTATAGACATAAATACTTCTATATACTTCTAAAATTCTTCTATTTACTACTACATTTATTTAATATAAAATCTAATTTATCTATATTTAAATTTGAATAAATATTTACTGATATTCTACGTTTTTTAAAACTTAAAACAATTGTTTTTTCATCCTATAAAACTTTGTGCAACAGCTTTTTTCATAAAAATTAAATTTTTTCATTTGATTTACATCTCATTTATTATACAACTTAATAATTTATGTGTAATTCTGATTTTACATTATAAAATTATTTTTATTCCTTCATTTGTATTTATTTTTTACTTTGATTCTTTTGGTTAACAATAAATATAATATATATATACATCCAAAAGTAGTGATGAATTTTCAAATAAGTAATGTACAGTGTGCACATGCGCATGCGTAAAATAGTTTCTGAAAGATCAATTTTTCTTATATTGTCTGCTGTACGATAATATGTTTAATGTAGGTCCAAAGATAGTTTAAAGTTTATTGTAGAATTTATGTCTATTTTTTTAATAAATTAAAAATTAAATAAAAATCGAATTAAAATTTAAAACTGTATAAAGTTAAAATCGTTGGAAAATACTTCGTATTTGAATCGAGGAAAGTATGTTGATTTTAAATAAATTCTCTAATATTTACAATTTGAACAGAAATATTTCTACATTTTATCCACTACGTGTTTGTAAGTATTTGTTTTAAATATTAATTTAAATTAATTTTTGTTATTTATAACTAGTAATAATGTATTATGATGAAATAAATTTATTAATTCAAATTTTTAGTTTATATACTTTATTCAGATATATTAATAATATTTATATATACTTAATTTAAATAAGTAAATGTCTATATATATATATATATAATATTAATTTTATAATATTCAATAATATTAATATTATACATAAAATTAACTACATATTTTTTAACAAATAGTTTGGTAGGTTTTGCTGTAAAAAATAATTTTTATATTAGCATATTTATTTAAAAAAAACAGCGAATAAGCAAAAATAGTAAAAAAATATCTAATATTTAATGTGAATTAGTAAATTATATGTAATACTTGAATATTAATTTATTTATTTCAATTTTTGTCGGTCTATTAAACCTGTAATATTTGGTATTAACGCTATAAAATTTGATTCTTAAATTAAACAGAAATTAATAAAATAAATTGTATTTCATATTTTATCTTTCTATATGAACAAGATTTCTATTAACTAATTTTCATGTTTTGTTTTATAATTGTTATAGAGTTTTAAATTAAAATAATTTTAAAGTATATGAATAATATATCTATTTGTATAGATGTATTTTAGGGGCAATGTATTATAAATGTATTGAAATAAAAGATTTAATAAATTTATAATAAAAATTGACATATAAATATTTGATCAAATGAAAGATATTTGTATCAAATAAGTATATTAAATAGAGATATTAAATGAAAGTATATTTTATTTAGTACATTAATTCACAAATATACAAAACACATTAAAGAAATTTTATATAAATATGTAACATGTTTATTGCTGTTCGGAATTTATTTAATTGAATTATACTTTAGTTATTTTTTGTTACATTTTTTGATTTTTATAAGCTTAAATAACATTTGCATGTCTTTTAAAAAATAATAAAAAAATTTTATTAGGAATTTTAAATGTAAATATTAGATACAGAACACTAAATTAAAAAAAATATTCAATTTTGCAATATAAAAGGAATATTTAGTATAATAAATCACTTTTAAATAATTTTATATTTTGGTTTATTTTTCTTGTGGTGATTTTATAATATTATTTAATACCAAACCATAACAACCATATTTAATACCAAACCAAACGATTACAAAATATTTTTAAGATTTTAAACAAGATCCATTATGTAAATCACTTCCAAAAGCTGAGACTAAATCTAACACTGCTTCAATTAAATATAATTTACATAAAAAAGAATATGATGTATATAACGAAAATGAATATAGTTACGGAGATTATCCAAAACTACCATTTAAAGGAGTAGAGTTACGAGATCCACATTATCCTTATGATAATCCTGAACATAAAAGAAATTTTAATGAACCGGTAAGAACAATTTTTATATTTTACATATGTATTTTTTAATATTATATCATCGACAATTTGGGGAAAATCTATTACATCTAAAATTAATGTTATTTAATTTAAGAAACTAGTATCTTTTAAAAAATGTAATAAATTATTAGTGAATAAAATAGAAATTGTCATTGTGTTATTTTATATTTGTATTCTTTCAAAAGTAATTTTTGTGCCTTAACCTGGTTCAATAATCTTGATATTACATGGGTACTACAGCCTTGCTAGAATATCTGTCATAGCTGTATAATGATGTGTTCGCTTATCTATATATATATTTTTTCAAGGTAATAAATACCTAGTTTATAAATCAAATGAAGAAAACAAAACTTTAATATCTGAATATACCAATATTATATAACTACATAAAAATGCATTGTTTCAAAATAAACAAAGTAGAATTAAATAAGTGAAGAACAAACAGCATGAATATATTAATTGATGCATACATGACCATAGTTGAGAAAAATGATTAAAAAATTACCATTTTGTTAAAAATTAGTTTACTTATAATAAAATAAATAATAAATATAATGTCAGTGCTGTAACTAACACGAGGGTTGGATGTTAGAAAACAAGTGCAATCGCTTTTCGACCTAATAACGAATTTGAGATATCTTAAATAATAGATATAATCTAATGCAGAAACTATTTTAAAATATGTAAAGAATTTAGAATAATAAAGAACTCATGTTGAGTCATAAATTTTTTGTGAATACAACTTTTTTAGGACCAAGTGAAACATAATTTATTAGTAAAGTTATTAGTTATGTTATTAGTAAAACTTTTTAGCTACAAGTAAAATTAAAAGTTTAGACTGTATATAAAAAATGGATAATCCGCTGAAAAGTGTAATATATAACAAACTGTTAAATGACATTAATATAGTTATTTTTGCGTAATATATATTTTTTAGATTATTACTAGATTATTAGATAGATTATTACTCGTAACAAATTAAGCTATGTTCTCACACGTAAATTATTACAAACAGGGGATTGTGAGTGTGAAGTTAACTGTAAAATTCTAAGTCCTTTTTTTATTTATATAAAGTAAAGATCTAATAAAAATGAAAACTTAAAGAGCCTTTTATTTTAATACTAAATTTACAAATTATTTTAATTGAAATGTTTAAGTAAAATATAAGATTCTTTTTCAATAGAATATTTCATAAGATTCAAACTTCAAGAATATTATATGGTCAGACAGTCCAGACAACTACTATTTATCTGCTGATTATTGCATAAATCGAAAGTACAAAATATTACAAAATAGTAATCAAATCATCATTTAATATATTTATATTAATTTAAAAAGATCATATTAATTCATACAAAAAACCTAAATTTACAGGATTTTAGAAATAATTCATTTTTATAATTTTGTAAATAATGTTAATATTATAGTATATACATTATATATTTATACATGCAAATTATAAAATGCATACACGCACAATACACATTCTAAATTCTTTTTATTTATATAATTACATGATCATTTACGTAACAATGCAGGTTTCATTTACAATTTATATGTTGATATAATATGGATTTTATTTTGTTTTCATAACTATAGGTGTATTATTATAGTTATATTTTATTATATATTATATATTATATACATAATTATAGGTCCATGCTGAAATAGATATGCTTGGTGAAAATCGATATAGTGCAGGTGTTTACAAACAATTATCATCTAAGTTTGCAGTTACTATTTTGATACTATTATTGGGAAGTCTTTACGGATCATCTTACATATTTAAAGATTTTTTTGATTTTCAACCAGTGGTAAACAAATAAAATTTCCGTATTTTACTATATATATATTACTATATATTTACTATCTAATTTACTATATATACTATATATTGCACACATACATACTTATAAATTATTTATTTACAAAAAATTAACTATAATTTCATTTTACAGTTAGGAAAACAATATCCATGTAAAGAAAAGATATATTATACTTTTGAAAAAGTAAATTAAGTAATTAAAAATTTATATTAAAATAAGCATAGTACAGAATTTTTAGACTAATTAAATAAAATTATTTAATAATGAAACAATTTTTTTCACTTAATATTCAAAACTGCTTATAAGACTGCAGTAATCAAGAGGAATATTAGTTTCAACTTTAAATAAATGTTGGAAATCGCGTTAGAGGAATTGTTCAATATCTATTCTATGTACGTCTTGAGAAGTACATATGAGTACGAATTATATATGCTCCGGGAAAGGTGGATAATGTTATTTTTAGATAATCAAATGAATGGATGGATTCTGCGATGATAACAATTTTGAAAAGCACAGATTTTTTGAACTTTCCAATTTTCTAATAACGAAGATCTGTTATCATAGAAACACGGCGGAGACGTTAGTGTATGCTTATTTTTACAATTTTTACTACATATATTCTCAAATTGGATAATAGTAGTTTCACTTTAAGGATTAAACATAAATTATCGTTTATTAATAGAAATATTTATTCATGTAAAAATGGACTTTTAATTGAATTACTATAAGAGATATGTGTTGACTTTGATGTATACTAATAAATAAAATGTATTACGCATACCTACATTTGTATTTCTTATTTATCTTGAAAAGTGATGTTCAGAATTTATGTATTTCAATTTAATAGATTATTTGTCAATTGTATACAAATCTCTTAATCTAAGATTTTAGAAGGTAATAATAGATTACAAATTTTAGAGTTTATTAACAACAATTTGATATATCAAATTTAGTACTGATCTGTATGTAAAAAAAATTAATTTTTTTAATTTTTATTAATATTTATGTATTCAATTTTAATAAAACTAGTGTATGTATCAAGCAAAAATTGCCATAAATCATATCAAATAGCAATTCCATACTATCAAGAGGGAGTGAGAGAAAGAAAAAGATAGTAAAAATCTCTTTGATTACACATTAAGAAATATGTGTTCGGAATTGGAGCATTTTCAAAGAACTTTGACTTTCGGAAATTTATAAACCTTCTAGTTTTCGAATTTGTAAACATTTGATTCCTTGAATTCTCAGACATCCTACAATGTTTATCTACTCTCCGCATAGCAACACCTATTCATTGTAACCAACTAAGCTGTTACGTGGATATTTAAAGCAAGCATACTAGAAGATACGCGCTATTCATTCGGGATCTATTTAGCCATAAGCTAGTCAGGAGTTATTCCCTCAAACACGCTCTCAGTGAAACCAGTACAGAAATAACACACGTCAATTCTTCAGTGTGCAACAGTTAACAAGCAGTCAAGGGTGCTCACTGCATTATAAGAAATTATTCGACTGCAAGAAGAATGTATCGAAGTACTCCTTATCACGAAGGTATATCAGTAGTCTCTATTGAGGGTAACTATTACACAATTCAGCCATACTTCCTTCAATTGAGTATGCTAATCCTTATAACATTAGCAAATGCCTCATAAACAAGCCATACTCCATTAAAGGAGTGTGCATAAACCATTGCTGATCCTTATAAGATCAGCAACCACATCGTCACCATCACCAAGGAGTAACTACATCTATGTAATTGGACATAGTTCACATGACTCCCATCAGAAGTGAATTCGACTCATGAATAAATCATAATAAACGGTGTTTAAAGAAGTCTGTACACACTGTAATCTCTACAGTCCTTCATCTTCAGTCGTTACCTAAGCTTTCTCTAAGGCTGGCGACAAATTAAATTGAACTATCCAACATTGGAAGTTCGAGCCAGAAAATCAAGTATTTTCGAATAACATGTAATTCTATCATATTTTTTATATAAAAAAATTAAAGGTAATTAGTTTTTAGCGTTATATTAATTTTCGTTGATATTTTTATTACTTTAAATATAGATAATAAATAAAATAAGCTATTCAGATCGTTTTGTGCGGCGATATATTGGTATATAAGCTGTTACCAACGGTAGTGAAAATTTATGAAATTTCGAAATCAAAAAAGATAATAATATATTAAAAATATTAAAAGTTAAATTTAAAGTAAATTTGTTGATATTGAATGTTCCAACAATAAACCATGGTAATAACTTTATGTTTAAGAAGTTCAATGTAATTTGAGGATTAGTATGGATAACGACTGTTCGAGAATGCGAGAACATTTTTTCCTTTTTTCTTCTTTTGTCAGTGCAATAAAACATCTGGCAAGTAATATCGTAAAATTTGTATTTGGATTTCAAACTTTGCTTGTTCAAAGTTTCTTACACATTAGTGTCATAAAACATCTAGAAAAACAATACCATAAACACGGAAAAACCTATAGTTTTGACATCTGCATTTTCGTTCCGCTCGGCTACTACATTAAGCATGACTGCAAGCGGACCCTCCTTCCTCTTCTCGCTGTCAAGAAGCTGCTTGCTGTCACCAGATGTGTCGGCGAATCCCCCCTCGCTGTGGCCTACATGCTATCGCATGCGGCAGCGGCATTGAGAGATCTGCGCATCATGAAGACTCAGAGACGACTAGGCCCTTAATTAACTCCGAACCCAAAAAAGGCGCTGCCCGCGCACTATAAGAGAGGAGTCTCTCATAGGACAGACAATAAGGGAAGGGGTTCAAGTCAAATTCATGGTCAGAAAATGTATTTAAGGGGTGCAATTTTCAATACTCATCACTCGTGATAGTTTTACTCTTGATAGTTTTACTCTTGATAGTTTTACTCTTGATAGTTTTACTCTTGATAGTTTTACTCTTGATAGTTTTACTCTTGATAGTTTTACTCTTGATAGTTTTACTCTTGATAGTTTTACTCTTGATAGTTTTACTCTTGATAGTTTTACTCTTGATAGTTTTACTCTTGATAGTTTTACTCTTGATAGTTTTACTCTTGATAGTTTTTCTCTTAGTAGTATTCTCGTGATATTACTCTCTTGAAGTGTCTCTCTTGATATCTCTCTTTTAGTAATACTCTCTCAATATAGTATACCCTTGAAACATTACAGTTAAGTTTGGTGAAAGTCCATTAACACTGTTACGGGAACAGTAGTTACAAGCCCTGAAGGAACGACGACATAAACCCGTATGTCCACTAACGCAGTTCAAGAAACCGTCGTTACATGTTCAAAGGGAGCGACGACAATCCGCATATCAGAGTCCGGAGACGAGTCAACGATTAGTCTTCGTAAGTAGTATTTACTACAATATTACATATATATATTGAGATTCAGAGTATAACATCGACAAGCACTAAGGACAAGGAAGCTCCTCTTAAAACGACAGTGCGGAATAAATTCCAGTACGCGTCGTCAAGTTCGCGCCCACAAAAAGGAGCGTCTCTTTTTAGCAACCATCACCTTAGTTCAAGTTCGGAAGCTTATGAAATTAAGCAACATACAGTGCAAGTGTCGACGAATCCAGTTTCGCGCCACTTTGCGATATCTTTCAATCATAAAGCTGCATTCATAACCTCAACCGCACACGTGCTCGTTCAAAAGGCGCTAGTGTCGACGAACAAAACTTCGCGCCATTCGACATTCGTATTCAACAATCAAGCTGCATAGATTA